GAAAGAGAGAGAGAGAGCTACAGAATGCAGTTTGCTTTCATGGTCTTTCCTCAGTACAACCTTGGGTTTATTGATATGTAGCAGTTCTTAATATGATACTGAAATATAGTCCCTAAAAGGAAACCTTTCAAGTAACTACAGTAGAGTAAAGACAGCAAGAATCCAGGAAATCTGACAGTAGCTGGACTCACTATGTACCCTACACACACTCAGGTCACCGTCATGCACTAGTTGTGACTCTGATGACGAGCATAGAGTCAATAGTGCAACGCCAGGACAGGTGTTGTGGTTAGTCTGTCAGGCGTGGCTAAAAAAGAAGGTGTGTTTTAAAGAGATATTTGATTCCACTGTGCATGTGGGCTAAGCAATAGAAATCTCCGTCTTTGTAGTTCTACATGGTCACATGTGGCTTGTAAGTGTAACCATGCCTACAGTATGTGTTTACAGCTGTTTCAGTAAGGCCCATGATAATCACAGACTGCAGTGCAGGCAAGACTATTTTTTTTTCTTTTCAGTCTTTCAGATAAATAGCATACACACTACCAGTCAGACGTTTGAACACACTTTTTCAGTGTATTCAAAGAGAATGTTTATTGCATTGATTGAGAGTAAATTGCTGATTAATTTAATTTGAATTCAATGGGAAATGTGTCCAAACGTTTGACTGGTCTTTTCTAATGAGTTTGCCAAACTCATTTTACACATGATTAAGTTCACCATTACAATTCTGTCAGCAGAGGGGGCCAGAGGATCAGTACAAAGGTTGTCCAGAATTGCACAGGTCCCTGGCGTAGAAGCAGCCACACACTATAATGTACTGTAGTTCTAGTTTATTCTTTTACTTTGGTATCAGTTCCTTGGATGAGTTTCATATACTTCAAAGGTGTGCTGCCTATTTCAGAAAATAAAATCACTGTTAAAAAGAAGCTTGCTCATATTCCCTGCATGACAGCATCACCTAGTGGTGTGCAGCAGCGGCATCACTGTAAGAACTAATGAAACCATGCCCTGGAGCAGGCCTGCCTTATGACATGAAGCTCAAGAGATATGAGAATCTCAAATGCACAGACATACAATGTAAGAATAGGGATAAAGAAGACATGGCCTAAAACTGAGAGATTTCCTACATTATGTGAACCTGGTGTGGTAGCTAAAGCAAACAGTGCACAAAGACTAGCTTCTTACATAACAAGACAAAACATATTTATGGCAACACCATCATCATACTGCAAGTCAGTCGCAGTGCTGTTCATGAGCAGGACAATTTAAATCTTGTTAAGGCAACGATTACACTAAATAAAAAACCCTGCATGGCAGTTTCCCCTTAACAACAATGTGAAAGCTAAAATGTGGACTAAAGGGGGTCACTGGTCCATACATAGCAGAATGGATAAGGAGAAAACAATCTGAAATGCCATTCCTTTCCTAAAATAAAACAGAACACACAGGCACCCAACAGGTGGACACAAAAGCTGCCTGCGCACGTGTGGCAAAACATAACAATAAATAGAGTATCTGTTAAATACTAAGTTAGGACATACTTGTCAGTGGGTACATTTGTTTTTAAAGTTGTATAATTTGTTTGAATGTTGTCTTAAATGGTAAAAATGTACAGTACTGTTAATATTATTTATCTGTACATTGGACTGCATATTAATGATGACAGGGAATACAGATGCTACTGTGTGCATGTTATTTGAATGGTAATATATCCTGACACTGTTCTTTCTGGTAACTTCTCATTTTGTCTTGAAAGATTATATAATAATCTTCAGCTGTGTGGTACAGTATGTACTGTGACTTGGATTAGATTCAATATAAACAGGATCAAGTATGTGGGACAAAAAAAGCACTTTGTCAATTAAAAAAGTGGATTTGTATTGTATTATAATGTACAGCTGTGTTTTAATTTCCAAATTTGTGTTGTAACTTTACTGACACAAATGTGACTTTTCTCAGCTGCCATCGCACTACTGAGCTGAACCTTGTGTGGTTCAGTGAATAAACAGTGGACTGACACTGTGAGCTGAACCTTGTGTGGTTCAGTGAATTAACAATGGACTGACACTCCGTACGTCAGAGTGCAGGCGAGGACGGGAAGGGGTGGGGGTGTGTGGGAGAGGATTGCTGGCGCAATAGCAGGGCGCTCAATGGTGGCATTCTTCCCTTTCTGTGGGGACGCATACACACACACACACACACACACACACATACACATCCAGTGACTGAGCTGGACAGTGTTCAGGAGAGAGCTCATGGCTGTGCCTGGCTAAGAGCACGCAGTGAAGAAACACACACAGTGAACCAGCGAGAACGTCTCCCTACCTGCCATTGGAATCTAACCACCAGTTTATCTTGGGTACCTGTCAAGTTGGTTTGCCAAGAAGAATTAATTGAGAGCCAAGATGAAGGTTTCAGTTTTTAATGTAGTTTCTTTGCTGGTTGTGGTCACCTCAAGTTACAGCACACCGAAAGGTAAGTGAGGTTCGAAAATGTAGGCGCTCAGGAAGTCTTTATTTTTTCATGACTCTGACAATATCTTGGCATAAGACATCAAAAATGTCACAGGTTTCGTAAGAATAGAAACAGTAGGAATTCTGTAGACTTTCCCTTTTTTTAATGTAGTGTGGAAACTGTCTTGTGCTTAGAAAGCTAATACTTCATGATACAGGGCCTTTGCATGATCTTCCCTCTGAATGTGCACGTATGTGAGTTAATATGATGAACTAAAAATCAACACAGTGAACATGATGAAAAAACAACAACAACATAAGGAGTGCATCCTTTGTTCTTGCATATGTACAATATTTTATTTATTTATTTTTTCTCTTTGAAGATGCTTCCTAAGGAAAATACAGGTTGAGTTTCCACGCATGCATATAACACTGAGATCACCTGTTTGCACCATCCTGGTTTGCACCATCCTGCAGGGAAAGAAGAAGGTGTTTAAGCCTGTGGTGTAAATGTGACTAAATCAGTGTCCTTCCTACACTGGCATATCCTCTCTGTAGGGTGTTGTTAAGGTGGTTTGGGATCAACTAGCCCCTCATCAAATTCAGCCATGGCGTCCAAATCAGGACATATGAGATGGGTACCGTGTCAAATACTGGCACAATTTCACAGCCACATGTGCATGCGTGCAGAGCAGATCGCAGAAATACAATACGTTTTACAGGTACAAATATACAGTGCAGGCTGAACACAGGATCAGGGAAACAGATGACATACAGTAAATGCTGTCATATTCTGCCTGGGTAGGTATTGTAGCCAGTGAGCTAAGTCAGGCTGGCACCGTGTAGGTCTGGGTTTAGCAAACCCAAGCTCTGCATAATACGTCAGTGATTACAAGGCTGAAACAAATGTGGATGCATCATTCTTGTCATTACAAATCACTGAAGGAATAAAGTCAGTGGGTTTTCGTCATGATTCATGCAAAAAGATTCACTTTCATGTGCTCTGCCAGGCTGAGCAGGCTTTTACTAGCTGTATTTGATTTGCTTTGAAATGAGTGTAAGCAAACAAATGAAATGACACTGATCTTGATTAATGGGTCATCTAAAAAATTATATCTTTCTCAAAGGCCTCCTGAAGTTATACTGGTCTTATGGATGAAATGCCTTTCAAGTTTCAAGCCTTAAGTCTTACACTGTAAACAAAACAAAACAAAAAAGTAACAAAAGAACAGTGAAAATCTGGCAGCAGGGGTGCCAGAAAAACAAAAAAACAAAAAACACATAATAAAACAGTAGAACAGTGCTGGAAGAAAAAAAAACATTTAAAATCTTTTTTTAAAAAATCTGTTATTGTGTGTAGTCCAAATACAATTTATAGGGGAGATCCAGTATTACTTTTTATATTTACCCTGATTGTGCGAGAACAAATGTGTCTTCTCTGATCACATTTCATTTGAGCACACCTGCATCTACCAATATCCTCAAGCATTTTTGTGAACAGGTTTAAGACCCTGAAATAATCGTGCTTTAAATACAAGTTGTGAAACTGCACTTTCATCCCTAATCATCGTGTCAAAAGTACAGTGGTCGTGGGTTGAAAAAAAAAGCACAGAAATTGTGAGGTAAAAATATATTTATGTTATGGAGATGTGTGTAGGGATTGAAATTATCTTGCATGCTACATTTCTAATCATATAACCTAGTCTTGGCCAAGCCACACATTAAATATGATGAATGTGTAGACTAAATGTTTAGGTTATAGAAGTGACAAAGCTAGCCATTACTTCACCACGAACCTTCACTTGATGGCTGTTATATCCAACCAAACAAAACAGATCTCATCTCATCTCTTTTGCAGATTATTGATGTTATGTTTTTATGTTCTCGGGTGGACACACACTAACACTGCAAATAAGGAAGACAAGTGATAATGAGAGACAGTTGGTTTGGATCAAGCAGCTTTATGTAACACATAAACTAAAGGCCAAGATGTGACCACTCCTCTGAAGGCCTTAACAACACTGTCTCACCTCTGGTGTCCAAAACAAGTACTTCTCCTTACAAGCTCAAGTCCAGTGAGGCTCTCATTTGCTCTAAATAATGAGTCATGTGGCTAAACATGAGCCACAGAGAAACCTTCACTTTTCAGATGTTGTCCATCTGTTCAGACATAATATTGGTAACAGAAAGGGCAATGAAGTAAAGCACACATTCTGCAAACTCACTCTAATACCCAGTCTCTAGTCTAACATGCAGTTTATAGTCAACACAAGACAGATGTTTCTTTTGATTTTTTTTTTCCTGAACCCTGTCTGTAAACTATGTAACAACATCAGCAAACTGTATGGCAAAACTTGCCCACAATAAGATAAAAAGAAAGGGGATCACCAGTGTTATTACAACTCATTGTCTAGGAACCAAGAATGTGACATGTCACAGAAATGTGTCTAATAAATATTCTCTAAAGTGACAGATCAACCAACTGGCCAGTGTTGCCATCCATAGATCATAACTAAAAATAAGATTATAGACTATATGTAAGGGCTTAATTAAGCCGGTATAAGTGAGCTATGTTTACCTTACTTTGACCTTGGCAAAAATTCTATCTTCATGTTTAAAACCTTCTGCCAGGATTTCAGCAGTGACCTTGGGTTGAGTGTGGGGATGCGGGCTGTTTTTTCCAGTGATGTTATTGTGAAATCTTTCTTTCACAAGAGACAAAATAAGCACAATGTCCTTTAAACCCTGACCCATCCTTTTATTCTTCTTTCACTTTCCCTTTTTTTGCATTTGTCACCCTTCTTTTTCTTCTTTTAGTTTAGGCAAAGTTTAAAGCAGCCCTGATGGAATTTACATATAAACAGTTGCTTGCTCACCCCCACGCTACTGTTATCTGCTTCCATCCATTTCCCCTTTCAACATGTATTGTTTTTCCCCTTCCCCTCCTCAATATATTCACCCAGAATCAAAATTGCTTTAATGTTCTCATTTTTTTCTACATCTCTGTTTTCATGATTGTAGCTCACAGTATGAAAGAAATAAATATTAATCACAACTTTACTCTGGATTCACATGATTTACAGTATATAATAAAAAAAATAAAACAACAGGTGGAATTAATAAATTGTATACCCACTTTCCATTTAACAAAGACCATCTGTTGAATGAGATAGCTGAGGACAGTGTGTGCAGAGGGGATGAAGCAGCTGTTCTAGTCATCCTCAGGACTCTCCTGTCAAGTCACACCTCTAATCCGTTCTATATCTTGTACTCTTTCTGCAAAATTCTTCAGATATAATTTCACTAATAAGCAGACAGAATCTCTTCCTGCCCATATCAGAACTGCAACAAACCTCAAACCTCTGATTTGGTACCATGGCAAGATGCTGACTGAGTGAAACTAATGACTCAGCCTAAAATATGAATGTCAAATAACTTTTAAGGAGGGAGCTGTTTATATTTAAACTGAAAGGCCCCAGGTTGGCCAGGACTCAAAACTGAAACGTTCTTGCTGTGAGGCTTATGCAAATCTTTTCTGGAAAAAAAAATGGCCTGTATATAACACTGATTAACGGCAACATTTATTGCTGATGTATAAAGAAGTGTGATGTTAAAGCGTACTGAAAAGCATGTGACAGTAACACTGGTTCATAATAATTTCTTCAAAATCATGGATTCCTTCCTTTTTCTAGCATGGCTCATAAAGTTTTCTTTGCATATTCACTGCCTAGCGCCTCGTATTCTCACGTTATTAGAGACAGTGGATGTATTACTAGAGCACAACGCCACCTTCATCTGTGAAGTGGAGTCGCGTCCCCCTGCTGAAATCACCTGGACCAAGAATAACCAGCCAATAATGTAAGTTTGCTACTGAAACCTCTTTCAGTTACATTATCTTTATTTCGGCTACATATATGCGCTTTGCCACTCAGGCATGTCACACTAAGCAAATATTTTCAAAAATGCTTGTCATAAAAAATGTAATCAAATTTAGCTTCCTGTTTTGTTGAGTTATCTCCTGGTGAAGGTTGCATTAAAAAATGAAGATGAACACACACTAAACTCCAGTAATTTTATGATATGATCAACATTTTGACTGCACCTGGCCTTTTTTCAAGGCAAAAGCTTAGTGTGTGGTCATCTTCATGAATGTCATTATCATGACCAGCACCGAACAACCACTCCTCGCTGATGAAGGTTAAGTGCCAGTAGATGGTGCTTTATATTATTATGATGAGCCTCTAATTTATGAAGCATTTTAAAATGACGATGATGTTAACATCAGGCATTTCTCTAAGAAGTATATAGTTCAATAATGTTTCTTTCAGTTTAATAGTGAAGCATGATTTAAAAAGTTCATTGGTCACTTGTGCTCATAACCAGACTCTCCTCTTTCTCCCACCAGGTTCTATGACCTTCGGTACACCACCAAGGAGCGGGGACAGATGCTAGTCATCCCCCATGCCCGAGAGACAGACAGTGGAGAATACTGCTGCCTTGCTACTAATGGCATTGGTGAACCAGCCAAAAGCTGTGGAGCGCTGCAGCTAAAGATGAGTATGTCTTCTCTGAGGCTGCAGGACTGGAGTCCAGTCAATACTGATCTTGAGTGCAGACTTCAAATTCACAATAGCTCTGAAACAACAGGCCACTGAACCATTGTGTTGTGTCCCTTGTCCAACTCTTCATCAGAGCCACAGATCAAACGCCACCCAACTAATGTAACCCTTCTGATAGAATCTAAAGCGGTTTTGCCTTGTGTTACTCTTGGTAACCCCAAACCAGATGTCACCTGGCTCAAAGATGATGAGCTGATCAAGGTATGCACTTCTTTAATTTTTCATATAAAACAACAACAGAATGTTTGTGACTTTCACATTAAATAAAGAATTTCAATCATTTATGCTGTTTGTGCTGTTCTGTACAAACAGTAGCTGACCCGGAGGATAAGTCAGAACACTGTTAAATAATAATTTGCTGATAATATACTGTATGTATTGGAAATCGTTTGACTCCAAAGGTATCTACACTGACTAATATTTGTATAAAATGCCCAAATACTCCCTTTTTAGGCTTGGTTAGTGTCTCATACAATAGACTGAGTTAAGAAATAATGTCGTAATAATGTTCAGTTGTATCTTTAGAAAAAAAAAAAAAGGAATAATTCTGACAAATCACTACAACTGTCCAAGGTGAATGATCGTGTTACCATTCTCGACTATGGTGCACTGAAGATCCATAACATAAAGAAGGAGGATGCAGGACAGTATCGCTGTGTTGCCAGGAATAGCTTTGGTTTGGCCTTTTCAAAGCCTGTCACTATAGAGGTGCAGGGTATGTATTTTCATGTCTCACTTTATGCTAGTATGTACACATGTAGCTACATTAAGATGCTTTAATTTAAATATACTTGTCTGGTTGCAGACCTAATATTTCAACACTCCTGTGTGTGTGTGTGTGTGTGTGTGTGTGTGTGTGTATACGCATGTGTGTGTGTTCAGCTCCAGCTCGAATCCTACAGGTTCCAAAGGAGAAGAAAGTAGCATATGGCAGCCAGATTTCACTGGAGTGTAACGCAACAGGAAATCCAATCCCCACTATCACCTGGCTGGAAAATGGGAATACTGTGAGTTTTACAGTTCAGTGCATGTTTACGTGTGGCTCCATCTCTTGAGGGTTTCATCCTACAGCAGGACATTAACCCCAGAAAAACACCTCCAGCCTGTGATTAAGAAAAGAACAAGACGTTAGGCTTCAAATGATGGAATGGCAGCGCAGGGTCCAGACTTTCCAAATGAAAAATGAAAGCAAAGCAACCTACAAGTGCTGCATATTTGTGGGAACATCTGCACCAGTGCTGTTTGTCCAAACAACATTTGATTTCAGTTGTAAAAAAGAATGCTGCAAGTGTGTTCGGCTCGTCTTTAGAAAGCCTGTATCTATACTGTATGCCTCTGCAGGGCACCAGCAGTGTCTGCCATGCACGTGACTCAGACGTGAATGTCTTAGTAATCATGTGCATGATCACAGGCAAAAAGGAAGAACAGGGCACTAAGGAAATAAATCCACACATACAGTGGCCTCTAATGTACACACACAAGAAATAACTATTTCTTCACTGGATGGTTCATTTCCTCATTCTGTCTCACACACACTCCAGGATTGGTGTGGTGCATGAAATAAACAGCAAAGGAATTCTATTTATGGTGACAGGGGACTGAAGACATTGTCTTCTATCCTCCATAGTGTTTTCAGCTTTCCTGTTATTAAAGAGAGAACTGAAGATCTCAGACTAAGAAGGAGCAAGACTTTCTTTTTAGCCTTCAATTGGAATGGTGGAATTGAAATCTTTAAAGTAGGCTACATTTTGTCTTTGTTTGATTTTCCAGTTTTGGGGTAGTAGTTACGATCCCTGCCGCAAGTTTTTTTTGTTAGATTTACATATGTAAATGTATGCAAATGTGTGCAGTATGCAACAAATTAAGAACAAGATTCTTTCCAATGAGACAGCAGACATTTTCTAAAATGTGTGTCAGTCGTTGGATGCACACCACATAATGTCTGGGTATTTAATAGTCTTGGGTACTGGCTACAGTGCGCTTACAGGCCCATGATGCTTGTAAAGCCCATGTATGTGTGTGTATACTGATTAAAACGACTGTGAGACCAGCTTGTTAGATTGTGCTCAGTGTCAGGCACAGCTTCAAATATAAACATGTTGTACATCAGCACCTCGACTAACTCACACACATATAACAATCTCTCACATAATTCAGTTATATACAGCATTTTTAAGTGTGAATGTAAAACTAAAAACAACATCTGCATTGTGTGAATACCAGGGAATTTTTGACGTTTTAAAATTATTACAAGTGGTTATATTAATGTCAGATATAATGCACTTCATTTTGTCAAGCCAAGACCCATGAGACAAAAAATTATAGTCTATGAACAGTTTATACACAGCTACATTTTCAAATGTTACCTGTTCACCTGTTTATCTGACTGACTTCAGTTAAAAGCTGAACCGTTTAAAAGCCAAAATTGCAAAGTCTGATTTGAAAGCCACTCTATCACAGGGGAATCAGTTACACCCAATCTTGAGGCTTCAAATTTCATATTATCTCTAAGTACATTTTAGCTATGACTGCCCTAATTGGGGGAAGGCATAAATTATTTTATAGAGGAATATAATTGCAATACATTCTGATTTTAAAGCTGAACTCATAAATATTTTTATATGAACAATGGTCCAAAGAAAGTTACAAAATTCCATAGTAAATCTTACCTTTATATAGGTTTTGGTTTCATGGCACCTGGAAACTGTAGTGAAGCATTTTGCAGCTAAAATGCAGACAATTTTTTGATTATTATAATTTTTTTCAGGAGACCAAAACAGACCAGGATAAAAGGCATTTATTTCTTTTTTTTCAGATCTCAGGTGCATCCATTGAAGAGACATTGGTGGGAGAGATCATTTTGTCTGTTGTTAAAGTGACGGTCAATAAGCCAGCTCTGTATACATGTCTGGCCTCCAACAGACACAGTGGTGGAGCCAACACCGTCAAGGCAACGGCTAAAGTTACTGTCACAGGTAGTGGCATGCTGTGATTTCCATTTCACAATAAGGTGTTACAAAATCACTAACTACCATATTAGAGAAAAGCTAATAGTTATAGTTTCTTATAGCTATTGTGACTGTGTGTTGTTGTTACTGCTTTGCTTCATGTTATGTTAGCTGTGCTTTTTGTGGCTTCAGCTGTTGGTCGTCCCCCATTTGGCTGATAGTGCTCAACCATACCCACCCACACACTCCATGACCACAGTCTCCTAGAAAACACACACAGACACAGCCCTTCATCCCTGACCACACATACTATATCATCCTTCCACCTGGTTGTCCCCCGGTCTGCTCACAGCTAGCTATGAGTTGATGAGAGGAGCACCATGGTTGGTCTTCTCTTGCAGCTAAGACTGATTTTTATCTGTCTGATATGTCCGTCTCCCCTCTTCTCCCCTCTGCTTCTATTCCTGCAACCAACATCTTCCGGATACTGCCACTTCCCCATAGAGTGGAGGTAAGAGAAATGGTTTGTGCTTCATGGCTAATGTTAGTAATTTTATGTTGATTGTTGATATTTAGTTGGGAAAGCTGATGGAGCAGCTTCCAGTAGATCTGGTGCTTGTTTGAATGTTGACTTCATGAAAGGTATTGTTAGTAACTGTAAGTTGATTGTTGATATTTAGTTGATCCTATGTTGTGTAATGTTCCATGTAGCCAGAAAGTCAGTATTGTTGCCTCTGTGTAAGGTGCTACAAGAGTTTAGATACACCATTAAAGATAACTAGGATAGGCTAAAGTTAGGATGTAAATGCCAGGGATTTCTCTTGCCACTATAAGTACAAGGCAAACCCACTGATTCTTTGTGAAGATTTTACCATATTATGATGCTGTAGTATGGGCTATGTTCACCCAAGCTCATTGAGTAAATTGCCTGAACTGGGAAACTCTTGTGTCCTGAGTCTTCTTCAGCATTTTCCACCATCAGAAAACAAAAGTCAACCAATTCCTTTCAGCTATGGAATGGTCTATGCTTAATTCCTTTAGGTTCTATGTGTCCATGTGTATATTTCTATGTAACATGCACAATGCAACAATTCATTTTTCAGAGTTTATAAAGAAATGTTTTAGTCTAAGTGAACCATCTTTAATCAGTATATCTTCACAGCATACTTCTTTTCACTATATTTTATATTAATACCATAACAACTTGGTTGTCCTGTGTTTGAAGAAAGTGTTGTTGGTTCCTCTGGGTCTGATGAAGATAGTATGCATTTTAGCTTAGTTGATAAACCTGCTATGCCAAAAGGGAGCCCCTCTCTCTGTCACCCATATGCTGTGGGTTCAATTTGAACCTTGCTGAACCACAGTACGACCCCACATCTGGACTACATGCTATAACTGCAAGAAGACAGATAGAGGGAGAAAGAAAAATAGGAAATGAAGAAAGAAAGAAATGTTGGCCTTGGGAGTTTCTGAGGTACCTGTACAAATGAAGAAAGAGAGTGCATTGCAGGTCATAGACAGAATGGCCCGGTCAGCACTTGCAAGATTTACTGTATCAACTCACGATCACATCTGGATTGTACATAGTAGAAATAGAGAAGAAAGAGAGAAAGTGAAGAAAAGGCATAGGGAGCTGGGTTGGTTGATAGATTTACAGTCCCACTTGAAGTTTGATGGTTCTGCTTGAGTTCTACTGAGGCAACTAGCTCCCCAAGAGGTGACATCTGGGATTTGTAATTGTACTGTATACAGACAGGCAGAGAGAAAACTGGAGTGATGGCTGTCAGACAGACCAGATGAAAAAGAAGAACACAGACAAGAAACAGACAGGAACACAGGAAGGCTGCACCACAGACAGGCAGGTTTATGTACAGTATGTAAGACTGACTTGTTGCACAGAGGCTGCTAGAAAGTGCAGCAGGCAGGAAGATAAGATGCTGCTTTATATGAACCGTCTCCAACCTATTTCATGATCACCATTCGGATAATTTCAGCTAATAGCCCGTGGCTTAGTATTTTACAACCAAAGCAGTAAAATACAGCTCTGGGGAACTAGGTCTCCATCTGTTTCTTATTGTTTTCCTTTCTTTTTGTGTAGTACACATGCATAGGTACTACACAAAAATGGCCGGTGCCATAGGTATTTCTTACCTTACTGGTCAGATGTTAGTCTCCTCAACCTGTTGCTGCTTGGTTGAGAATATACACCAGATATTGTGCTTGTCATGAAATAATACTTTGTATTATTGCTGATAGACAAGTCATTTACAGTACTCAGCTGTCACTGAGGTCTAAGCAAAAAAACTTGAATATGTGGTTTGTTGCTAATGCCTATAGATTATAATTTCAATTCTTCTTTTGGTGGTTCGGGTTTTGAGTTGCCACAGTGGGTCAGTATGATCCACACTGTGATTTGGCACAATTTCACCAGATGCCCTGCTTTGAAGGAATTTTTAAGAACTTAAGAAGTATTAAGAGAGAGGAGAAACTCTCTACTACTGGTATCAAACAAACAAACAAAAAAGGCTCTTCCCACAATAATATTAATAACACAGCCCACTTTAGTCACCCTTTAATAGAATGCAATCAAATCTGCTTTTCATATTTGTGAATATTAATGTCTGTGTTTTCATCAAACAGACTCTACAAGAGCATCACAGGCTACTGCAGTGCCTATCGTGGAGATGTTTGCCGTGCAATTCTGCCAGATGATTCCCTCGTATTCTTTAATTCTTCCCTCTCTGACCCTGAGGACATGCAGGAGTATTTGGTTCAGAGCTGGTGGCCAGAGCTAGAAGGACTCAATGTGCTGTGCAGCCCTGCAGTACGCTCACTGCTCTGTCACTCCTCTTTCCCGAATTGCAACCCATCAGGGTTTGGCCCTGCACCTAAACCTGTCTGCAGGTAGAATATGTATCACTTTGCTTTACTTGTTCATTTAGTTTGTGCAACATACTGTATGAAGAAATTATAGATAATCAGATAATTTTGTAAAAGGTGGGAGAGTAAATAAACACAATAATGAATCCTTGAATCACCAAATGAATTAAGGAGTATGGTTATTTGTTTCCTATATAAAACAGAGAACACTGCCTGACAGTGAAGGACCTGTACTGCCATAAGGACTGGTTAGTACTAGAGGGCAGCAGTTCAGGCCAACCTGGCCTCTTCAGCTCTGTCACTGGCTCTCATAGTTCCAGGTCTCTGCTGCCTAATTGTCAAGCCTTACCAAGTCTTCACACAGACCCCGATGTGTGTACACATGTGCCTTTTGTAGGTAAGACAAACCCTACTGAGGATCAGGCTAACCTTATAATATACCTTTTTTTTTTTTTTTTACATTGTCCATCCATCCATCCATTTTCCTCCGCTTATCCGGGACCGGGTCGCGGGGGCAGCAGTCTAAGCAAAGATGCCCAGACTTCCCTCTCTCCAGACACTTCCTCCAGCTCCTCCAGGGGAATGCCGGGGCGTTCCCAGGCCAGCCGAGAGACATAGTCCCCCCAGCATGTCCTGGGGCTTCCCCCGGGGCTCCTCCCCG